ATAGTATAGTATAGTGTAATATAGTATAGTATAGTGTAATATAGTATAATATCGTATAGTATAGTATAATATAATATAGTATAGTATAATATAGTATAATGTAGTATAGTATAGTGTAATATAATATAGTATTGTATAGTATAGTATAATATAGTATAGTGTAATATAATATAGTATTGTATAGTATAGTATAATATAGTATAGTGTAATATAATATAGTATTGTATAGTNTAAATATAAATGGTATATTTATAATACATAAATTATATATATTTTCTATATAAAAACACATATACTATATATATTATATATATTATATATATAATATATTATATATATTATATATATTATATATATAATATATATTTTATATATATATATATATATATTTATATTTATATATATTTATATATAGCTGCCACCTTACAGGGTGCCCATCCCTTCTACTTCCCAAAAATCCAAAGTCCTCTTAATTGTGTTTATTTCTTCAGATAAGAACTTTCTGCATGAGAAAAATGTCACAAAACACATCAACCGTGTTATGTGGAGTGGTGTGAGGGAGCTGTGGCTTGCTGCTGCAAATTTAAACTTGTTTTTGTTTTAATTTCTCCAGATCAATCAATTTGGAGGGATTATTATATTTAAATATAAATATTATATTTATAATATATAAATTATATATATTATATATATAGGCTATATATATATATATATTAAAAAAAAATATATATATATATAAATAAGGCTGCCACCTTACAGGGTGCCCATCCCTTCTACTTCTTGTCCCTTTAATTGTGTTTATTTCTTCAGATAAGAGCTTTTGTTATTAAAGGCAGCACCACAGTGATTAAATTTATCCCAGGGGTGTTTTTGCATCCCACTGGGTAACTTTGGTTGTTATCCAGTATTTGGAGCAAAACATTGAATTAGATTAAAACCTTGATAAGAATCTTTGGCTGAGGAATTCGGTGCTTGCATCAGAATCAGGATTTTGGTGAGGCTGGGGAAGGCGAGGGCACCTCTGGCCCCAGAATTGCAGCAGGACAGGAGATGGAGTTTCTCACAATTTCCCTTTTTAAGGAAAATCAGCTTTCTGAATTGATCAGCTTTGGTTTTTTTGGTCTCCATGGATTCCAGAGGAGGCAGCAGGTGAATGTGAGAGGGTTGGGCTGGGGAATGGCTGCTGTTACGTGATGATCCAAAAAGGGAACTTCTGCCAAGAATAGAATCAGGGGTGGATATTTTGCTATTTAAACATCTTAAGCTCAGCTCGGTGCTTTATTTTACTCTCACTAAGAATCTTTGCAGTGAATCCCATCCCTTGTGAGAGGAAGGCTTTGGAAGAGAGAATTACATTTTCATCGCTTTGTCTTGGGGCTTGGCTCAGACATCTTTGATGAATTATTAGGAAAACATTGAACAGAATGCAGTGAAGAAATCCAGGCTGCTTCAGAGGCTCTGCCCAAATCCACGCTGGTTTTTGGAGCCAGTCTGTAGTGCCTGGCAGTGCAATAAAATGAATTATTTTAGCAGTGGCTCTGAATAGCTGAGCCTTTCCCTCCACTGTCATTATCTTCTTTCATAACAATATCCAGCCTTGGTGGTGCTTAAAGCAGACAAAATCTCCTTCATTTCCCTCCTGCTGAGCTCCAGCCTGGCTAATTAATCAATATTAATTATTAGTCATTACAACAGCAAGGCACAAATAGTCCCTCCCTCTTTTGAAACCCACAGGGTTGGAAACCACAGGTTAAGAAAAGTAAGAGACTTAAGCAATTTGCTGGATAAGTAAACCCTAAATTCGAGCCTAAGCTTTTTATCCTGCTGAGTCCCCACCTTCCCTCTGAGGTATTGGATGGAACAGAAACGCTCTGAGCTCAGCCCTGCCCCAGGAAACTTCCCCTCCCTCCCTCCCTTCTCCCCTTGCTGAACTTGGGCTGCCCTGGCTGGGCTGGGATTCCAGGAGCCTGCCTGGCTCCAGGGCAGGGACTGGGGCACCTGGAAAAGGGATTGGGGTACCTGGAAAGGGACTGGGGCACCTGGAAAGGGACTGGGGCACCTGGAAAGGGACTGGGGCACCTGGAAAGGGACTGGGGCACCTGGAAAAGGGATTGGGGCACCTGGAAAGGGACTGGGGCACCTGGAAAGGGATTGGGGCACCTGGAAAGGGATTGTACCTGGAAAAGGGATTGGGGTACCTGGGAAAAGGATTGGGGTACCTGGAAAGGGATTGGGGCACCTGGGAAAGGGATTGGGGAAGGGATTGGGGAACCTGGAAAAAGGATTGTACCTTGAAAAGGGGTTGGGGTACCTGGAAAAGGGATTGGGGCACCTGGAAAGGGATTGGGGCACCTGGAAAAGGGACTGGGGCACCTGGAAAAGGGGTTGGGGCACCTGGGAAAGGGATTGGGGAAGGGATTGGGGAACCTGGAAAAAGGATTGTACCTTGAAAAGGGGTTGGGGCACCTGGAAAAGGGATTGAGGCACCTGGAAAAGGGGTTGGGGTACCTGGAAAAGGCATTGTACCTGGAAAAGGGATTGGGGCACCTGGAAAAGGGGTTGGGGCACCTGGGAAAGGGATTGGGGCACCTGGATAGGGATTGGGGCGCCTGGAAAGGGATTGTACCTGGAAAGGGATTGGGGCACCTGGAAAGGGGTTGTGGCCTGAAAAGGGGTTGTACCTTGAAAAAGGGTTGTGCCCTGGCTGAGCAGCCAGACAGTCCCCGTGGATTTTGGTGGCTTGGAGACTGATGAGAAGGATTTTTGGATTGTGAGCAGCCAGGCAGGTTTCTGTGGATTTTGGTGGCTGATAAGAAGGCTTTGTGGATTTTATCCTGGAAAGGGATTTTGCCCTGGCTGAGCAGCCAGACAGTCGCTGTGGATTTTGCTGCCTTGCTGGCTGATGAGAAGGAATTTTGGATTGTGCCCTGGATGAACAGCCAGGCAGGTTTCTGTGGATTTTGGTGGCTTGGTGGATTGTACCTGAAAAGGGGTTGTACCTTGTCTGAGCAGCCAGACAGTCCCTGTGCATTTTGGTGGCTGATGAGAAGCCTTTGTGGATTTTATCCTGAAAAGGGATTTTGCCCTGGCTCAGCAGCCAGACAGTCCCTGTGCATTTTGGTGCCTTGCTGGCTGATGAGAAGGATTTTTGGATTGTGAGCAGCCAGACAGTCCCTGTGCATTTTGGTGCCTTGCTGGCTGATGAGAAGGATTTTTGGATTGTGAGCAGCCAGGCAGGTTTCTGTGGATTTTGGTGGATGATGAGAGGCCTTTGTGGATTTTATACTGAAAAGGGATTTTGCCCTGGCTGAGCAGCCTGACAGTCCCTGTGGATTTTGGTG